ATTTCTCTTAATATGGCCAACACTCGCATTCTGTTAAATTAAGAATTACGGCGAATCGTTGATGTAGTCTTTTGCACATACTGGTATGTCCTGTTCCGGTGTCAAACTTTAACATCAGACATTTTAAAACGTTTTGTTACTTCAGAATTAATAAAATTTGACAAAAAAGAAGATTTTCAGGTAATCACATATGTTCGTTGCCATGAACAAAATGTGCATCGTCTTAACCTTTGAGAGTCATCAATGACCTTATGAATAGTCAATGAAAATGTCGTAATCTCTTATCATGATGCTGGATAAGCCTATCAAATTAACGCAATTTTCGTATCACACTCCGAGAAATATCTGTTCATGCAAGAAATAGATAATTGGCCACAACAATAAGAGAATAGTTTGTTCATGTATCAATTTATATTCCTATTTGAATTGAGTAATCGAATTTTGACCTTTATTTATTTATATAATTTGTATTTTTGACAACTGAAAAGAGTAGCTTAAACGACCCATGAATATCTTGACTCGATTTATTTTGATCCTACTGTGTCGAATCATCATTGATGATTTTATATATTATATTTGATATTACATTTGCACATCACTGGTTTGGAATAAATCCTTGAGGTATTCGAATTATTTTCCAGGAGACAAAATAAAGAACTCTATTAGTAATGCGATGTCACCTGGAACACAAAACGTATAACTAATGAATAATATCAATAGTTTGATTAAATTTCAAAGCAATTAATATTTATGAAGTTTAAAGTAAACACACTATATGACTCTTCGTCATCAGTTCAAAGACATCATTATGCGTGGTAAAAGATAAAGATGGAATTATACTATCATTTAAGGACATTCTGTTTTTTCCGTTATTCATCCATGTACTGAATAACGTTTTTTTTCTCTCTCTCGAATACACATTCGAAAATGGATGTTAAATACTATATTTTGAAGAGCATCATATGTATTTTGGCACTTGCGTATGTTGGTAAGTAACTTTTATTCATCAATTAAATTTTTAATCAATTTATTTATTTAATTGATACTTTTAAATAACATGTACAATATATTTGTTTCATTGATTTAGCTTAATTACTTCAAAGATTTTATACATATTTTGCATCCAAAACACCGGAATCACACGATTATAATACCAGCAGAAAAGTTGTAATCAGAAATAACAGTAGACTTCTAAAGGAGTACCACAAGGGACAGTCTTATGATCTTTTGTGTTCCTTTGTGACATTAACGACCTTCAAGTCGTAAAAAAATCACCATGTGACTGTTTTGCAATATAGAAACAATGAGATGTGGTATGATAGCCAATGAGACAACTATCTATCAGAGACAAAATGACGTCGAGGTAAGTTACTATTTTAGGTCACTGTGTGGCCTTCAACAATGAGCAAAACCCATATCGTATAGTAAGCCATGAAAGGCCCCTATTTGACAAAATGTAAACAATTCAATCGCGTAAACTAACGTCCTCCTTTATGTACATAACAATAAGCAAAAAATCAAAAATGATCGACAGCGATCAACGACAAACACTGATTAACAGACTCCCGACCTGTTTACATTACGAATGATATCCAAGTGTTCACTTGGGTATAAAAATATGGCCATTCCTGGAATTTTCCCTTCAAGCAGTAAACCACATACTAGAGAATGGAATTGGTTTTGCTCTGGGAAATGTATAATGAATATGCAGCGGCCGAAACAGATGGGGAAATTGATTCCGATGTATTGTGAAGTGTCACGCTTTCTGCTCGTTTATGAACCTTTGCAACATTAAGATCGTAGATTGGTTATTGCATGGCAAAATATCTTACCCTATCCTTCATACCTTTAAAAATCCAATGTCCCGTCAACAACCTTGTCTACCCACTTTGGTGACCCTTCATGTACTCCTCATAAATATTCCTGAAATATTTGCTACTGGAGACTAACAACAATCGATCAATCATAACGACTAACGAACAGAGAAATTATTATAGTTCTTTCAACAAAAATAATATGTTTGTCAAATAAGCTTAAATACAATACTTCTGAGTATTTTCACAACATAAATGTGATATCACATGTACCTGTCTATTTTAATGTCTAATTATATGTACAAAATCCATTGCAACCAAATTTGCATTAACTGATCTAACCATCATCGACATATCACAAGACTGTTCGTGTCTTCTCCATTCTCGTATAGTCTTTCTGCAGAGACTATTGCTAGGGACATAAACACAAGGGACAAGTTAGTTGAGTAGCATTGTGGCCACAGTGACCCCTAATAACGAACTGAAAGCTTAAGTTACTGCTGGGTGCTTGGGAGAACTATGCCAAACAGTGGATGACAAGTCAAGGAAAGAGGGCGTTGAAAATACTTTGATTAAATCACCTAAGAAGATCAATGGTCACCAGTGTTATTTAAACCATTATGTTGCCAAAACATCTTTTTACAATGAAAACTCGTTATTATAACTGAAAAGGCTACTGACACAAAAAAAAGAACATTATATTAAATGGCCAATTAAAGAGTTAGACAATACCAGTATACTTGAATACCTCAAATGCTCTTCCACGATTAATCCTATCGCGATTACATATGCTTGTAAATTACAAGCCTGTAACTTTACTGCACATCCAGTTTAACTTTATTTCTGATGTAAAACGGTGTATATTCTTAAAAAGATTAATTAACATTTTATTTATATGTAGACCGGAAGATTTTAGTAGTAATTGTACTCAAGATATTGTTAGAAATCTTGAACTTCAATATGTCTACTGATTTCGTTGGACAGATTTTCCAAAATGGGAATTTGTATTGCAAAAGTTTCTATGATCTGTGTTCGCATGCGTATTGTTTTGTTTTATTCGTAAATCTAGAAGGCTTAGATTGCAGTTTTTTTTCTACCATTCGACATAGTTCATTCGCAATTTCTTATCTAATGTATAATAAGTGAGAAATACATTTTCACCAGTAATGATTATACTAAATGTATAGTTTAGGGTAGACAGTGGAAATGAGGAATGAGTCAAAGGGACAACAACCCAACTAAAGAGCAGAAACAACCCAAGGCCACCAATGGGTCTTCAAAGCAGCAAGAAAATCCCGCACGCGGAGGCGAGCTTCAGCTGGCCCGTACATAATAGTGTACCAGTTCAGCAAATAGACACCACATTAAACTCCGTAAAATACAAAGGAACCGAAATTAATAAAAACCCACACAAGACTAACAAAGGCTAGAGGTTCCTCGAATGGAACAGGCGCAACAATGTGATGGGGTTAAACATGTTTTGTGAGATCTCAACCGTCCTCCTATACCTCTAGCCAACGTGGAATAAACTAACACACAGCAATATGCACAGTAAAACTCAGTTTAAAAGAAGTCCGAGTCCAAACATTTAGCTTACTAAATTTCATTAATAATACTGCCGTTTTATGTTAATCTTAGCAACATGCGGACGCTTTTGATTTTGTGAAAAGGCATTATTTTCTATAATCAAAATTTTGTAGATTGTTCCAGTATTTCTAAGAATATTTCCGATGCCATCTTTGAAGGTTATGATAGTGGACTACGACCAGCATGTGAAAATGTCACACTTGTAAATATGACAATGGGGATAGCCGTACGCCAGGTTATTGGTTTGGTATGCACATTTTAGGCCTATTTTAGTATTAATAATGTTCAAAAGATAGCAATAACAATTGTAGAATTTTACTTTATCTTTTACCGACAATTATTATACGTGCATTATTAAGGACTTTCTGAACGCATGAGTAAGTAAATGTTAGCTATTAACAGGTGTAGATTGATTGGAATAATATTTATGGGCAGCTCTTGTTATGTCAGACATTAAATTGCAATTACGCTTTTAAAAATATTCCAACGAGCAGTTGATAAATGTTTTCAAGGACACAATGGACTATGATAAAATCATTAATGTCATACTGAACGCATATATGGTTCCATTATTTGTCCCAAACAATTCTCTTTTTTTGTCTATTGATGTCAAATATATTATTGTTTTACTATACTCTTGGGCTTATGATTTATGCAATGTTAATATTTTATTAATTAACAATGAACTTAAGATACAATATGTGGAAAATCCTTTTTAATATTCTATTTTCAGATTCTCCATTAATATTGAACTTATTCTAAACCATTTAATTTAAGAAATAGTAATTGGGTTAAAATATCTACCACATTATGAAGAGATCACGACTTTGTAGTGTGAAACATTTACACGACAAAACAAAGACACATTTTATAGGGTAACTAGAATAATCATATTCAGGTCAAGATAATGACATCAGTTTTTACTAAAAGTAACCAGTAAAGTTTATACTGAAAATCAAGCTTGTGTATGTGATGAAATGGTTGATTGTTGTTCTTGTTCATTCAAACGGTCGATTAGTGTTCCTACAGTAAACAAGAACAAACCGGGTCTGGTCCTGTGTCGCTACATGCAATTAGTTGAGACAACATGTATACCAGAGCATAATTAATCATCAAATATCAAAATCATTCACTTCAATAGGAGCCAAAAAAACTTTTCTTGTACAAGGAGTGTTTTAAAATTCAAACTATCGACAAACAGGAAGCGGCTACACGGCACATGTTAAAATTGCTCACTCGCTACATCTCAACATTATCAAGCAGCAGACAAAATGATCAATCAATCCCTTGCATAGAAGCCGAGAACGCTTTGACGAAAATTTTCATTGTACAAAGAGTGTTGTAAAATTTCAAGCTATCGGCAAATAGGAAATGGCTACACGACAGATTAAAAAATTGCTTACTCGCTACAACCCAACATTATCAAGCTACAGATCAAATATGAAATCATTCCCTTCCATAAAAATGTTTATGTTTGACAAAGTGTTCTTTTGGGTGGACAGACGGACGGAGTCGAGCGGTTGTTAGACCTGCCTCCGCCTTCAGCGACGCAGGTAAATCAATCAATAACTTCTCCGTCATCACTTTCCGTACATTGATTAATTGTTTTAAATTTCAACTATTGGTTTTATTTTTCTAGGACGAGCCAAATCAAATTGTCAAGTTAAATCTATGGATGAGATTGGTAAGTAATAATGAAAAATTCAATTGCACTTAGTATAATGAAGGAAGAGAAAACACAAAGGGGATGATCAAAAACCGGAAGTTGAAAAAAAAGAGGCAACACCAGATTCAAAAGGAAACAGACAAACAGCAGAATGAAGGGTAACAGTTTCCCTTCCGACTGTTACCTTGTAAACTATCTTTTGAATAATCAATCTCAGATGGTCGTTCTAGTCAAGGTTTTCCATACTATAGAAAGTCCCTGTTCTAGTGCAAAACTATGTTCATGTTTAAGTCACATTAATATTGTGTTGTCCTTGTAATCGTTGAATTTCCCTTTTTTGCACGTTAAGGTAGATCAAGTGTCTTCCGCCATCTTGGATTGTAAAATAACAGAAAGCAATCGGTCTAGATCTTTAATGAATTGTTTAATAATACTGGAAATACCCAGTAGATGTCAGACGAGGTTCGTTGAAAGTTTAAAGCTTGAATTACGAACAATACAAATAATAAACGAATTCCATTTTTTACTGATACTTTGAAATGAACACATTAATTTCATTTGAGATTTAATGTGTAAAAAACTCTAATGATGCAAGAAGTTAACAATTAAAAAACTCATTATTTTGATTCAGTTTTCCTCTACACAACATAATCACGCTAGATAAATTATTCATTTTATATAAACAAAAATAAAAGGTAATAAATGGCGATTAAGATAACTTTTAATTTCCAAATAAATTCATAATTACGGGAAATTACCATTAGTTTATTAATTCTCTATTTGAAATAATCATAGTTATATCCATGCCAATATTGTTCTTCCAAATATCTATTAAACAAACATAAATTCCCAGTTGTGAATCATATCACATGTCCAATTACTATCTGATTGATGTACAATCATTGTTTTTAAATTATCGTCTGTTATGACACTTCTAAAGTTTACTTTGCAAATTTTATTTATTCGTCCTAAAAATCGTATTTTTGTTGTATTTGGTCCATTGCTCCCCAATTAAGTTTTTGTTATATCAGCCTTAGCTATTGATATTACACACTTTGATGAAGATTCATGGGCGTACAAGTAACATCGACATCAATGATCCCATTGGGTTTACATTCTGCTTCATTGTTTACGTTCGTTTTTATGTCTTCCGATCTATGTAGAATCACTTTGATATAGCTACGATACACTTTGGCCTGTAAAACCAATTCGGAGCATATCACCGGAAAATAATTAAGTTTACATGATAACAGTTAGATAATCATAATAAAAGAACGTGTTCCAATCTCCCCCGAGTTGCATATATTTCATCTGTGCAAAGGCAATAACAAAAAAATAATCTTTTTTTGATGTTTTTTAAAACTTTTTACAGATATCTTGAAGAAATGCATGCTCGAAAGCCCGCACTTAATGCAATTTTCCATATAATTTATATTTCCATGGGGCAGAACTTTTTTTTCCAGTCGATCTGCAATGATTTTTGAAACGGTCCGAGACATTGCTGATATTAACGTCTGATATAAGTTTGATGATAATTTGGCAAGAAATCTTTGATCGTTCCAGATGAAGGTAAATCCAGAAAACGCTTTGGACGCATGACATTTATAAAGTGTTGTTTTCATTTTTTGTAAACGTGAGAGCGCATACCAGTCTTTTACATGTATTTTTTTAAGCGTATGATGAGTTTGTTTTTGTTAGTTTCAGAATATGTTTTGTTTGAATCAGAGTTGTTTTTATAAAGTATGATTTATCCCTCCTTAAAACAAGATATTTGTATCCACGTTGGCCATTCTTTTTTTATGAAACAAAGTTTGAATACTAGAATTAAGGGTAGAGACGTCAAATAATTGAAGAGGAAAGTGACTTTGATTATATGTACTACAACAGATCTTTCGAAATTTTTAGTATCTGCATTTGATTCACACCACCCCTAGAGGAGGTAGTTTCACATTATTTCTTAAAACCGGCTTTGATTGGTGATAAAATTGATATTAATAGTTTTGAGAGAGGTTTTTTAAGCACTTAGCAGACCCAGCATTATAACTTTGTTTGTAAGGACACTATTGTAACACTCCTCTTTGTTTTCAATTCAAATGAAATATAGAACAAACCTATGATTGTTCAGGATTTGCTCTCTGGTAAGTCTCGTGGTTTTGTATGTTGAATTACCAAGTGTATTGTCAATACATCAATTCGGTATCAAGCAGTTTATGTAATGTGATTTACACACAAAAACAATATTATACGGAACATTATCTGAGGAAAACACCATATTTGTCACCGAGGTGAGACAGGTGTTTAGCAACGTTTGGGTCTTTAAAGATAGATGGACAGTTGGATAAATTATGAAGTTAGGAATGCGAAACGAAACTAAAGCAAATACGGAACACGTATTTCCATTTACTTCTGCTAAAGTAATACCACGGCTTGAGAAAATAATAGTTGCAGAAGGTATAATCCGTCATCGGTCATATAACAAACATAAAGGTTAACTTGGTAAATTTTACAGAAATAAAGTTTGGAATTCCTTCAGGTAGAGTTTACCATTATTGGTGTATTTTATGGTATTGACTTTTTTGTTAGGTCCCTTTTAGTGGTACTAGGCTGTGACGACTTTCGAATCGGAGTTCGTTTCCTCTTGATATATAATACTGGGTTAATACCGTTTGTAATAGACTGTACGTCTCCGGAAGTATCAACTACTAGTAAATATGGTCCTACCCCATTTCAATATTTTATTTTACTAGCACTTGATCGATACCACATTTGGTGGACTGTTAGTCCCCAGAGTATCATAAATTAGTTCTCCACTGAAATGCATTATAACATACATTTCTTAACTTTTCCATAGATGAATTAAGAAATTTAAAAAAAACTATGGTTCCATCAAAATTCATTTTAGGTACCTGATTTCTTTTAATGCCGTCTAAACATATATCTCCATACATTTATATAATATACTGTTCGCTTTTAATTTTTGGGTTTTAAGCGTTCCAAATAAAAAAAAAAAACCAGAAAATTGATTCGGACCTATTTTTGTAATATTTTTTTAAATCTCCATCAGAGAAGACGATTTGGAATATTCGGTTTGTTTGCAATTAGTTATGTTTGTGTTTGTACACTGAACCAACAAAAGTAAGGATCATAAACTTAAGACATTTACTATTATAATTACATTAAGGTTCTTAAGATGAAACGATTACTTCAAATTAAGCTATTAAAAGTAAAACTGTTAAAATTTTAATTGCAATGGATTAGGAGAAACTCGGTGGAAAAGTCTATGAATTTGACACTGAAGGTTTTGTTCTTTTTAGGAGAATGCACATGATTAAAATCTGTTTGGCCCAAAATGTTTATCCGTCGGGTAAATGTTCTCAGTTACGATTGATTCTGATAACAAAAGGCAACTTCATTCGAACAGTCGGAGTTGAAAGTTCAAAACCTTAAATTGAAATTACATTAAAAACGCACGTGTCCTTACACACGACGTTATATTGTTTGGTCTTCCAAGCGCTCCACAAAACATCATTCTAAATTATTAACATCAATGTTATCAGCAATCAAAGCCGGACTTCAAAGTTTTTGTGAAACTACCTATTCTAGAGGTAGCGTGAATTATAATGATGTGGATACTAAAAAATCCCAAAGATCTTTTAGAGTACATTCAATCTAATCTAAGACTCTTTCATCTTTCAATAGTATTAAAACATTTGTTTTTTCAACACTTTACACAAGTATTCCCCATTGCAAACTAAAAGACAAATTGAAAGATTTGGTCCGGCTTTGTTTCATAAAAAAGAATTGCCAACGTAGATACAAGTATTTTGTCTTAGGGAGGGAAAAATTGTACTTTGTAAAAAATCACTTTGATTCAAACATATAAATCTCTGAAACACATGATCAAGATGCTTGATTTCTTTGATTGAAAACATATTTGTAATGTTTGGAGGACGCGTTTTCAACAAACAATCGGCATTCCTATGGGAAACAACTGTGCTCCTCTTCTTGCCGACTTGTTCCTTTATTCATATGAGGCTGACTTCATACAGGAACTTCTTAGGAAGAAAGAAAGAAAGAAAAGAAGTTAGCAGTATCCTTTAACTTCACTTTCTATTATATAGATGATGTTCTCTCACTAAATATTCCAAAATTTGGTGACTATGTTGAACGCATCTATCCCACCGAACTTGAGATAAAGGATACACCAGATGCAGTTAAGTCTGCCTCATATCTTGACTTTCATCTAGAAATTTACAATGAGGGTCTGTTGAAAACAGAACTTTACAACAAAAGAGATGATTTCAGCTTCTCAATTGTGAACTTTCCATTTCTATATAGCAACATTCCAGCAGCGCCCTCATACGCAACATTTATCTCCAAGTTGATACAATATTCCAGTGCTTGTATTTCCTATCATGATTTCCTTGATAGAGGGTTGCTGCTCACAAGGAAGCTATTAAACCAAGAGTTCCAAGTAGTGAAGTTGAAATCATCCCTTTGTAAATTTTACGGACGCCATCACGAGTTGGTTGACCGTTATGAAATATCCGTTTCACAGATGACAACGGATAGGTTCCAATTGTCGTAACTACAATACCGTCCCCTTTTCCTCGAATGTGACCTACCGAATTAGACTTATCAACGGGTTTGTACTAACATGAGAAATACGACGAGTGCCACATGTGGAGCAGGATCTGCTTACCCTTCGGTAGCACATGAGATCACCCCCAGTTTTTGGTGGGGTTCGTGTTGCTCAGTCTTTAGTTTTCTATGTTGTGTTTTATGTACTGTTGTGTGTCTGTTTGTCTGTTTTCTTTTTTTTTTTTTTTGCCATGTCATTGTCATTATATTTTCGACTTATAAGTTTGAATGTCCCTTTGGTATCTTTCGCCTATCTTTTTTCCTTCTTATTTTTGAACGTGTCAGGAGAAAAATAATGACATTGATATAAACTGAAATTGGGTATTAGTCGCAAAGAGTCACAATGTCTTCCATTTTGTCATCATATTTGTTCGGTACATAGTTATGGAAATATCTCTTAAGGTCTATTATATTTATTTGATATAAATATTTATTTTGCCGAAAATTTGATTTAATAAAATCATTGTTGTTTGTCGGTTCGTCCTGGTTTTGCTATGGACTTGTTTCAACTTTCTTCGACCTTTGATTTGTTCCCTTTTGTCTGTCACATTATACATATGATAAAATAAATATGTATATATTTAGCTTTAATCATAGTACTTTCTGTGTCAAATAATAACAATTTCACGATTTAAGCTTTAAAAAATATGCATCCTAAAATCTATGTGATATGCAAACAAGTTCCCACATTTATTAAACATTACTAAACATATTTCATTTAAAAGTACCCAAAGTCAAAATAGCATAATCAGTGTTTATATGATGATCTGAACGTGCTTTATTGAATCTTACACATAATATACCTTGTTTAATATTATGTGTGTTATATTTAAGAAATGGAATGACTGCTTGCTAAATTGGGACCCAAAAGATTATGGTGGATTAGACAACATCATAGTGCCAATCAAGAGAGTCTGGATACCAGATCTTACATTATATGACAGGTAAGTACCATGAGTTTAAATGTATATTTTATAAGTCGTATCAAATGTTACTTTGAACTGATTATCACGAGGGTACCCAGTTTGCACCTACTTTGACAGTGTTTTAAACTATAGCAATGTTTATTTAAGAAACAGACAAAATTTTCATTTTGTGTTTATTTTGTAGATGTATCCTTATTTACTATATATTTCCACAAGGGTATTTTTAAATCCATACTGAATTATAGAAAAATAAATTTGAACGGACCTCCAAAATGATTAAAGATTCTGCAATGAGGATCGGAGTACATAAATTGCACTTATGCTCAACTACACACCAATAAGAATCGAATGACTAACGTTTTGTTTCATTCTCCACTTTTTTTGAACAATTTGACAATAGTCTATCCCAACTGTTCAGTTTGTAAGAGATGGATGCCTGTGAATATTTTAATTGTTCATTTTTAAAAGTTGTCTTTTAGTAAACGTCACATGAGACGTTTCGGTTGATTTCACTTTTATTACTGGATACGTCATTTGTTTTTATATAAAGTGACTGTTTGTCAACATTTATATATATTTAGCTACGTTAAAATAGGTGTATAAAGGCAAATTATAAAAATACAAATTGTTTAGTCTCTAAGAAAATCTGTGAGATTTTCGCTGCATTTTTTTGCAAATTTTGGTACTTGGTGCAATTTCAGTACTGTGAAATTACATATTTTACCTCTTGTTCAATTTTGCTGCTTTCATAATACATATTCTTCTCCTTGATTGCATTATTGGAATCTCCATCCCCTATTCTTTGACCCTGTGATTTTTGCGATTTCTGCATTTTGCTGTTTTATTATTTTGTTACTCGTTAAAAATTTTGGCCATTTTGTAGGAGCCTGTTGGCTTTACAATTCCTTATTTATTATACATTTTTCCTCACTGGTGGCTCTTATCAATCAAAATTTTAGTCAATCACTAAGTACATATTGAACTCTCAAAAAAGGGGTACGTTTTAATTCTGATGGTTCACATCATTCCAGTTTGTCTGATTTATAAAGTAATCAGTTCTAATATTCAAAGTTAAAGTCGTGTTCATTCATGTTTTAAACACTTAAATGCAGCATATTTTTCGATTGTTTTGCAGAAGTGATGGACGTTTAAACATGTTTAATGGCAAATGGTCAAATATTATTTTAACATGTCATGTTTCAAAGGGACCACAGATGTATAACTAACAATTTGAAGCTATATTCTACATGTATAGTATTTTTCGATTTATGTGTGCTTAATCATTTATGTGATTTATATTAACTGTGTATTCTTCATTTTCTAAGCAACAACCTGTAATTAAATAATGAGTATGGATTATTTGATTTAATATATCGTTTACAGCACCACTACAGAATTCGGCGGAATTAAAGACTATAGGGCTCTTATTTATTCTGATGGAACAGTTTATTATAACTTCCCAACCGTCCTAGAAGGTCTGTGTCCAATCGATGTCTTAAACTTTCCTTTCGATACTCAAGTATGTGCATTAGTATTTGGCTCCTGGAATCACCATGGACTAGAAATAGACTTATATCCCAGACACAACCCTGGGGATCTCTCAACTTTGAGATCTAACGTTGAATGGTTAGTTCCAAAGGTTGCAGTAGAAAGACACAACATAAAATATACGTGTTGCCCGGCGCCCTATCCAGATCTCACTTTTAATGTACATTTGCAGCGCAAACCTGCTTACTACGTCATCAACATATTGGTACCGTCAGTGATGATAACAGTTTTGGCTATACTAGGATATTTTCTTCCGGTTGATTCTGGAGAAAAGGTTTCACTGGTTATCACAGTAATGCTTGCAATGTCGGTTTTTCAACTGTTAGTTGCAGACAAACTTCCACCATCAGCTGAATCAACACCTTGGATAAGTAAGACATGTTTGAAAAATAATTTAGATACACTTATAGCAACACAATATTTATATATTTCAGTGTCTTAATGTGTTTTTATGTGGTAGCCATTATTTCATTTTAAGAAAGAGTTAAAAAGAAAATAAAAAAACGTTTTGAGTCACCGTACACTGGTATTCAATTCTTTTAACATTAACAATCTTTTGAGAGCACAAAACAAAAAAACCCAATAACATTGTTTGAACTGTTCTTTATACTTGCCTCAATGTTAAGTAAGGCAACAAGATTTATTATTATACACAAATTCATAATTTTAATTTTCAGTGTTTTTCTTCAATTTTATCCTTGGTTTATCAGCGGTATCCACCATACTACAAGTGCTTGTTATAAATTTGTATTACCGCGGTGAAAGAGAGATATCAACATGCCTGAAGTATTACGTCATCAAACCTCTTTGCCATATCACAGGTGTTTCTATACCTGGAGAAGATCCACCGTCTTATTGTAGTAGAAAGGTAAGGAGGGGTACTTTTATATAAGGAACAAATATCCCTTTGTATTATAACAAATAACAAATTAATTTTGTTCATTACATGAATTACATTCACCATTTATTCCCTACAAGAGATACATATGAGTTAACACGGAAGTTTCAGTTAAAGTCAAATTATACTTCTGAATCAATTTTAAAAAAAATTGAATATGTTTTATATACTTGAATTGGTAAGTTTTACTATACAACAAAAGTACGTGGACTATTTTGTAAAAGACAATCCTTTATCATAACAAAATCTACAGAAATATACTCTAATTCGTCAATATTTATCCGTATACATATGCAGTAACCTTAACTACGATACCCCTGGTTAGAAATTCGGCCACCGCACAGCGCAATTGCGTGGGAAAATCCTTGATGAAAGAATGTACAAAAACGTGCACTGGAAGGTAATAAGTAATAGTTGAATCTTAAAGAACAAATTTTATACAGCAAATGATTTAACAATGGTATGGAAAAGTTTGATAAACAAATGGAAACGCATAAAACATATCAAAAGATTAATATCGCTTTAGTAATTCACTTATTTTTCACGTAATCCATGATTCTCTGTTGACTGTTTATCAATGTCACGATCCGGTAAACTTCGGCAACAATCTCGAAAGTTAATTAGCTTGCGATCAACAATCACTGATTAAATAGTATTTGTCGATAATATGTTATAGATTGACAATAAATCTTAAAAACGTGCATAGAGAACTTAGTTTAGTATATATACATGCATTAGTTCACTAATTTCCTTAACATAATAATTACATGAAACTCGTTTCGTATGACTTTAAAATTAAGGTATCATTTCTAAAAAAGCTGGAATATATAAATAAAAGGAAACAGTTATTTGCGTATGTTGTAAACTCGTTAATCTATTTCTAATATATCAACCAAGAGAAAAACGTGAGGAAATCGCAAAAAAACATTCGACCGGAATCATAAAATTGACCGGGTGCTATCCATCATGCATCAACCGAATTCAAGACTACGAAAAATGTCACACAATCGATAAATGTTTAGATCACACGACTATTGTGATGTCATTAGATCCAATATGCCTTTTACTATCGAGTTTACACACCGAAACACCGTGTATCATTCGAGAGAAACAATGGGGAAAAACCAATAATGGACGGAATAGTTCTTGAATAGCAACACAAATGCTACAAACAGTTCTTTGTTACAGATTAACAGTGACCCTAATATTATATTCTTTAAGAAAATAAACACCAAATCTCGCATATTTTGTAATGTTTCCTCCTATCTCTTGTGTTTATTAAAGATTTGATTACTTCTAATCACGATATAAAAAGAAACTTTTTATTTCAGATCCAATGTTCCGATTTTACAAAGCCACAAGAAGCAAAGAATTCAGTGATGTGGCAAAGTTTTTCTATTGCAGTAGATCGGCTTGGCATTGCCTTGTTCTCATTTACTCTTGTTATTGGAATTGCTACTGTATTTAACCAAATGACAGGGAGTTCCTAGACTACGTATTGTGTGAAAGGAACTTACAAATATATTTTGTTTTACTCGATTTACTCAAACCCATTTGTTTATCCTGTTTTAATGAATACTAGAATGTATGTTATTACTACTATTTAATCTTTTAAGTTCAAAGTTCTGCAAAAAACACGACCTTTAACGCAACGATCAAATGCTGAAGCTAAAATTGTCATTTGAAGAGTTATAATAATTCACCACTTTAAAATCTTTAGCACTTTTGGTAAACTTTTAAAAGCGTACACGATTTTTTATATCTCAATGTTCCGGTTTACATGTATTTTCCATTGATGTAGATATTCCTTAACCATATTCTGTGCAATTAAAAGTAGCAATTGTAACATTTGATCTAACCAAGATAGCTGTTTGTTTTTTATACATACATATTTTCCAAAGGATGTGCATGTTTCTACTCATGCTGGTCATTACAATAGCTTTCAAATACACATGTGCATAAATGTACTAAGATAGCTCAACATTCATTTTCCAAAAACGTTGTTCCCATTTTCAGTTATGTCATTTTTAGGAGACAGTCTGCTATTTTGAACGTATACAATGTACATAAATGAATGCATGCTAACAAAAAAAAAAACTCTTCAATAGAAATGGAATCTCATGTTACTTGTAATTGTTTTTTTTAATATAATTAATAATATGTATAGACATCGTTGTCATTTTAATGAATAGGCTGACGTCACAGCAATTATTTATTGTCTCTACTCTCTTTTGCTTATTGAGAATTAGAATATGTTTCAATTGAAACATTCGTAAGAAACAAGTTATATCAGCTGTTGTTGGAATATTATAATGTTATGAATAAATTGAAAGTAATATTGCAAAATTCGTAAAAATTATGTAAACAATTGAATTTAAACAGAATTTTTGTTATGAAGTCATTGTAATTGATCACTTTCAAACATTATTTTTTATTATGTGAAATTTCACAGGAATTCAAAAGGTAAAAAGATTTTGTAATGATTATCAACGTTTATTTGTTTTAAGCATAGACTTGCAATTTTTTTCTTCTTCATTATAATAAAATTGAGAATGGAAATGGGGAATATGTCAAAGAGACAACAACCCGACCATAGAACAGACAACAGCAGAAGGTCACCAACAGGTCTTCAATGCAGCGAGAAATTCCCGCACCCGGAGTCCTTCAGCTGGCCCCTAAACAAATATATATACTAGTTCAGTGATAATGAACGCCATACTAAACTCCAAATTGTACACAAGAAACTAAAATTAAAAATAATACAAGACTAACAAAGGCTAGAGGCTCCTGACTTGGGACAGGCGCAAAAATGCTGCGGGGTTAAACATGTTTATGAGATCTCAACCCTCCCCCTATACCTCTAGCCAATGTAGAAAAGTAAACGCATAACAATACGCACATTAAAATTCAGTTCAAGAGAAGTCCGAGTCGGATGTCAGAAGATGTAACCAAAGAAAATAAACAAAATGACAATAATACATAAATAACAACAGACTACTATCAGTTAACTGACATGCCAGCTTTACCAGTTTACAATAATAAAACTAATAAACGACTGTTGTTACATTGAAAATAACTCCTACTTTTACCAGTCAACATGCCCAACTCATTTATTACAAATTAACAAGGTGATCTTTTGACTTTGAAAATATTGAGGTAAATTTTCAATACATCCTTTATGTAACTGTACTGTACCTAACAGTTTTTATTTTGAAAATATATTTCGCATTCAAACTGTATTGATTCGAACGTTTTACGAAGACGAAACGTGCGTTATAAGCCTGATAATTTTATGACATTTTTCAGCTACTCCCTAAGACAGTTGACATTAAAGGGGCATTAGCTACGTATACGAGATATAAAAAAAATAAAATATGTTTTTTTGTTTGTTCAATCATTAATGAAAGTGAAATAGTGAAATAATACTTCGTTTTTAACAGCCAGTTTGGTTACGTTTGGTCAAAATAAGCAAATAAACATCGCTAATAAACTATTCACTTGCAAGTGAACAATTCGACCTCATTGAATCCGTATTCATGTGAACTTTAATTGATTCCTATAGCTAGAGATGGGTAACGCATGAACTAGGCGTGTTCAGTTATTAAATGGAAAAGAATGTAAACATTGGAAGCGAAACAAGGGTAAACCATTTGGTTGACTGATTCGATCTAGAAAAACTAATTCTTTAACAGGTAAAAACGATTATAAGCATATATTTCAACCTATAATATGAAATCAAACAGGCCTAGAAAAGTCAAATTGCACGAGTTCGCAATCTATTTATATCTATGTGTATGTTTATATCGGGTTATATGACCATAGGCAATCTTCGGAGGTCACCTCGATGATTAATTAGATGACGTCTGGACTAAAATATGCGCGAAATGCTGATACATACTATCGAGTCTATGCATCTTAAATTGTTTATTTTATACTTTTTATAATTTGGATATGCGTTTTAGTATGTTATAAGTCGAATGTAAGAAGTTGAGTCAAATCGGTGAACATGAATTTGACAGCTAATGCTCATTTAAATGATTTTTATTGTTTTACACTTTTATATTTATCTTTAACCGTTAAAAAACTTATAGTAGTACATGCATGGATATTGTTTCAGTTACATATGTGGAGCTAGATCTGCTTACCCTTCTGGAGTCTGAAAAACGCATAACCTTGTGAAATACCAAAATATTAGTAAATAGTATCGACAGGATGTAGGATCACGAGTTGTCATTTCTATACATATATAAAAATATAAATTTAGTTATGTCTTTTTTAAAACGAATTCAATGTTAGTACCTATAAAACAATATTTAAAGATATTACCATTGTGTGAAATTGATAACGTTTAAGAATATGTTGATTCAAAGGGTTAATGAGTTTACAATTAACAATTTACATTAACAATCCAAACTTTTCTGATTGGGTTCCATTAATATATCCCCAAGAACTAGAAATTAAAGAAACAACAGACACGGCTTCCTCTGCCTCATTTTTAGACTTATACCTCGAATTTGACATACACGGTCATCTCAGTACAAGAATCTATGACAACGAGACGATTTTAATTTTGAAATTATCAATTTCCCCCACCTTAGTAGCAATATACCAACTTCACCTGTATATAGGATATACATTTCCCAACTTATTCGGTATTCAATAGCTTGCAGCTGCCACTCAGACTTTGTAAAACGTCACCAGTGTCTGAACAGAAAGTTGATGAACCAGGGGTATGTCAAAGTACGTCTCGTCCTTTTTCTAAAAAAGTTCATCGGAAGATATCAAGACCTTGTTGATAAAAATTCCGTATCAACTTAACAAGTTATACACGATGGTCTTGAAGTATAGATTCTGTGTACTGACGTTGTATATCATCTTAATAACGTGCTATAGTATTCTTTTATTTGTCTTTTTGAATGTTACTTTTACTGTTTAGTTTATTTTTGGTGATATCCATTTGACTTGGCTGTGTAGTTATACATTCCGTTATTGTGCTATGGTAAATTTTTGTATTCTTGTCTTTCATTTTTGCTAATGTGCTTTGTCTATATGCCTTTTTGTGTTTCTTTGTTACATATGACGTGGCTCTGTACTTATACATCCCGTCATTGTGTTATTGTGCTATGGTAAAATTTGGTATTCTTGTCTTTAATTTTTGCTATATGCCTTTATGTGTTTCTTTGATACATATGACGTGGCTCTGTACTTTTACATCTCGTCATTGTGTTATGGTAATTTTTGTATTCTTTTTCTTTAATTTTTGCTAATGTGCTTTGAATATATGCCTTTTTGTGTTTCTTTGTTACATATTTATTTGTTTATATAGTGATTAAAATTATAACACAATGTTGACTGCTGTACCCCAATTTTTGACATTTTTACCTATTGTGTCTATTTGTTTTGTTCACACAACGTTGTCAATATAATGGAATTTTATGCGACTGTCATACAAGTGAGAGGTTTAGCTAGCTATAAAACCAGGTTTAATTCACCATTTTCTACATAAGAAAATGTCTGTACCAAGTCAGGAATATGACAGTTGTTATCCATTCGTTTGATGTGTTTGAGCTTTTGATTAGGGACTTTCCGTTTTGAATTTTCCTCGGAGTTCAGTATTTTTGTGATTTTACTTTTTACATGAAGGTGGATGGGGTGTCTTAATTAGAATCCATAGAATTTTGTAATAATTTGTCAAAATGTAGTTTTTATCATGCTTATTTCCAAAATATAATAAAAAGTATGGATCACCGGACTTTTTTTCACGCTACAGGTTGTGCAAAATTGTCAGATTTTGTATAGATTATGCATGGAAAATCCAATTTTGTGTGATAAAAAGAAAACTACACCATAGAATGTTTAAGATAACATGTGAGAAGATAGCTCTTATAACATGCTTTCAGATAAGAAAAAGAAAAAAATGGGGTCACCGGACTTGTTTTCTTGCTACATATTAAAATAGATAAATTCACAACACTTAAAATTATAAAAATTACCCAAAAGAGTTATCTTTGATAACTATTTACACCACTGGGTCGATGCCACTGCTGGTGGACGTTTCGTCCCCGAGGGTATCACCAGCCAAGTAGTCAACACTTCGGTGTTGACATGAATATTAATTATATGGTCATATATATAAATTTCCTGTTTACAAAACTTTGAATTTTTCGAAAAACTATGGATTTTTTCATCCCAGGCATAGATTACCTTAGCGTATTTGGCACAACTTTTTGGAATTTTGGGTCCTCAATGCTCTTCAACTTTGTACTTGTTTGGCTTTATAACTTTTTTGATCTGAGCGTCACTGATGAGTCTTATGTAGACGAAACTCGCGTCTGGAGTATTTAATTATAATCCTGGTACCTTTGATAACTATTATCTCCCCTTATGTGGCAAAGTTGAAAAAATATGGATCAAACAAAAATATCGTGTTTTTTTTAGAAAATACAGCCATTAATATGATAAAATACATAATTTTCTATATTAACATGAAAAGTCTTACACATGAATTACATACTACTCTCAAAATTTGCACATTTCATTAAAGATCTAGACCAATTGTTATTTGCTACTTCAAAATCCAAGATGGAGGAAGACACCCCAACCAGCTTAAACACAATATTTACCAATGACAGATTTATTTGAAAACAAATGAAATCACTTACAGAAGTTTTTGTATCTCAACTGTTAGTTTATGTAATCAGTCTTGGTAGACTATCTATCGTAAGTCATTGCACGATGTGTTCTTGTATGTGGAATTGAAATAGCGCCATAATTCTAGATCAATAGAAGAAGATGTTTGAAAATACGTAATTTAGACAGCAACCAGACGACAAAATAACTTAAAGACACCAAGAGGAAAACATTCATTTTTCAACAAAAGACAAGTATCTATATATACATAATATATCAAAGTCACTATATAAATAATATAAATAAAATATCAAGTATGAATTAAAATTGCAACAACAGTTATTGATTTTATCTTGAAGTGAACGTATTAAGTGGGGTGTTTTTACAAGTTATTAATTTTCTGTCTTTATTTATAAAAGTATTTAAACTGTATTTCAACTGTAAATATAAATTTAACTACAAAAGATTCACATAAATTGGTCAAATATCATTCTTACATTAAATATTTTTCAATGTCGAATTAATTCAAAAGTACTTGTAACAAAATAAAACAAATGTATATAATCTTCATGTTAAAGAATAAATATCTCATGGATGTCAATCTCGAAAAAAATCCTCAAAGATCTCGAATACTTACAAAATAAGCCGGAGAAAAGAAAGCTCGTAA